ATGAGAGTTGTTGGATTTTAAACGTTCCCTGAGTTCCCCTAGTATACTCCCTTAATGATTTCTGAGTACATGCCATGGCAGGAATTCAGTCACCTGCAGAATTCACCCCTGTGAAGAACTCAAAGCTTTGTTAGCACTACATGAAACAGGACAGGGGCTTGCTTGCTCTCTTGTCTGTTTCCCTGAATTCAGGCTGCTCTTCTCTTCTATTAGAGTTAGGACATTAAAGTGCATGGGGATAAATATTCCAGAAATGACAGAGGCGCTGGTGGGCATGCAAGAGTAGATTAGAAAGCTGGAAGTCCCACGCAAAGGAAGCTATCCTCCAAAGACAGGAGCTAAGGAGGCGACCCAATTAGTGTTCCTTTCCATAATTTCCCTGATTACATATCTCCTTTTGCCCCATGTGCTCTACCTAGTAAGTTCCCCTAGACATAGACCTAATCAAGAAGGCAGAATATTGATGCAAGGCAATTTAAATGAGAGCTGTGTTATGCTAAGATATGTGGCCAACAATGAGACCTAAACAACAGGGAGGCCCCTAAGGCATAAAAAGTGGCTGGACCAGATAACATGCTACTGTGGATTTCAAAGCAGACTAGGACAGAAAGAACAAAACTTCATTAGAGCAATTCCCTGAGGTCTAGGGTGTGGTAAGTGAAGCCCTCACAATTGATGTTACATTCCATTCCTGAATCAGGACAGAATGGATACTTCTTGGCTGGAATTCTTGGTTATGAGGTCCAGGTTATGAGGTCCAGATAAGGGTCCAGACCCTATCTGAAATGCTTGGGGCCAAAAGTGTTTTAGATTCCAGAATTTTTCAGATTTTAAAGTATTTGCCTATGTAAGCTATTTTGGGCATGGGACCGAAGTTATACACAAAACTCACTTGTTTTTCATATATACTGTATGCACAAAGTCTTATTATAGGTAGTTTCATGGATTATTTTTAGTGTCATCTCTGCTTTGACTATGACCTGGCACATGAAGTCAGGTGTGGAATTTTCCACTGCAGCATTGCACCACTGCTCAAATGCTTCAGTCTCAGAATTCCAGCTTAAGGATGTGTACATATGTGATCATGTATGTGTATATGTACATGATCCCATATGTGATCATGTATATGTACATGTATATGATTCCGTATGTGACCATATATATGAACATGTATATGATCCTGTATGAGGTCATGTATATGTATATGTACATGCATATATAATCCTGTGTGTGATCAGGATGAGAATCTGGGAAAGTAAGACAGGTCTCTAGCTACTGGCAGGCACTGAACTCACCACACCCTAGTGCATTAGAGCAGCAGGACATTGTAAGCTATACCAGGAAGGTCTTAGGCAGGAAGTTATCCCTTTAAAAATGTAAGTGATCATATATTGAGGTCCATTATATCCAACTTTGGACTTCATTATGAGTGAGGCAGAAGGTTTGAAAGGGCAAGTCTGAAGCTTATATGCCTGGCTTTCACCCTGATTCCCCAGCAGTTGTTTAAGAGCTGCACCAACATGGGGGGGTGTAGGTCACTCATGAAAGCCTCGGTGTCACTGCCTGCAAACCAGCATAACAACAGTGCAGACTACACACAGACTTTAAAACAATGCTCTTCTGTGGACTAATAAGTATGAAGTATTAGGCTCAGTTCTGTGCGTGCAGTCAGTGAATGCCGACCTGACTACAGCAAGAGATGAAGTCTCAGAATAAGGTCCATAGTCCAAGGTCACAGAAAAAATATGATGAAATAGAATGACCTAGACAGAGCTTTGTGGACCTTTATGAGAAAACCAATGTGTATGTGATGATAATAAATTAGGAGGAATACTAGAAGTACAGAGAAATTATCACCACCGTTCCTTTTTATTTCTGTTTACTGTGTGGTGGTAGATGATTACCAGTTTTATTGGAATGTTTTATAAGCTGCTAGATTTACTTACTGAGAATGAACAGATACGCAGGGATGCCTTTCAGCTGTGTTGTGTCACAGGCTCTCATTGGGTCTTCCCCTCACTTTAAGACAAGGTTAATTAGTGAGGAACATTTGTTTCAGAGAAGGGGAAAGGCTGGGCCTGCTGCATGATTCATCTCCCTGGAGGATGGGGGATGAAAGGGTGGAAGTCCTAAGGAGGGGCTCACAGCACTAAGTAGGGAAGTTTCTTGAGACAAACTTCTGACAAGCGTGCCACAGTGATATAGGCACTCTAACATTGCATGAGTTGACAGGTTCTAGAACCACACTTAAATGCTTGGCAACTCTTTCTTGTTCAAAGTTGTGCTTTTGAAAATTTTTCTCCCTTCTTATAGTAAGGGTTTTTTAATCCCAAATTCATGTTGTTCCAGCCCCTGCTTCCCCCTTTATATTCATGCTAGTCCCTTCTAATCCATGACTCACGGGTAACATGCCACCTTCTTGGGGGAGCCTCCAGTGACCTATCCTATCTGAAGTGGGCCTCTGACTCTTACATGTCCTCACTTCACTCTACACAGTGTAGCCTGGTGAAGGCATGGGGTATGGGGTCTGACTTGCCAAGTCCAAGATCTCTTTCTTCAGCGTGTGAACTTGGGTAAGCTAATTTATCTATCCACCCTCAGTTTCTTTATGTCTAGCAAATGGGAACAGTCCAAACACTCCCTTTTAGGATGGTTGTGAGAGCTAATCATGCTCAGCCTATTGCAGGGATCAAGATGATGGCTGCTGTTCCTTGAGCTTGCATATCTCTCGAAATCACTGCTGTATTACTTGCTATAGTCCTCTCCCTGCTCTGGAGTGCAAACACTTGGAAAGCAAGGACTTTGTATTGTTTGATGCTGGGATTTTAGACTCTAAAACAAGTCCCATACTGTGAGCTCAAACATCTTTGCTGAACAGATTATGTTTAAGTCCAATTTCAGTCAGACAGCAAGAGCATCTCTACTGAGGCACCCGAATGGCCAATCACGGCCTAATGAGATGATTGGTCTCTTGCCTAGACCCACTATTAATCATTATTCTTGTAGTCATATATCCTACTCTTTTTCTGCAGATCAAATACTCAAAGAGCTTTGTAAGCTGATTTTAGTATAAAATAATTTTGCTTTTTCAAAAAGCCAAATTATCCAATGATATTGAGTTATACTAACTTTTGCTTTCCACTTGTGATATGCCCCTTAACAACCAGCAGAAACCAGAAAGGATGTAGACAGACAGAAAAGTACGCGTTACAAAGGAAACCCTAGGACTTCTGAATCTGGAATGCAAAGAAAGACCCTTTCTAGTACTTCATTAATATCTCACATCTGTAGCCTACTTAGGGAAACCAAATGTGCTAATATTCACACTTCATAAGGAGCAAATGCACACTGTTCACTAAGACAGGGAAGCACAAAACGCCCTAAACACTAGGTCTGTCTTCCCTGCAATACACTGATGTATCATAACTGTCTTTAGAGAGGAAGCTACTGCCAGAACTGACCAGTTGCTCCCTCTTTGCTTTACATCCTGCTAAAGGTCAAGGTTGCTTCTCCTGTGCCTTTCAGACTGTAGGACAGCTCAGCTAAAGGTCGCCCTCAGAAGGGTTTTCCACCTCCTTTCTTTTTCTTAAAACATTTTTCCCCCTTAAAGAATTAATGTCAACGCAAGTATGTGCCTCTGACTTTATAGCGCCGCTAGCGTTTTGATGACTTACATAAAGGTTTTAAGCCCTGTCAGTAAAGGTTGTTAGCACCACCAACAATGCTATTGTCACCCCAAAAGAACAGAGCTAGCTGAAGCTCTGAGGTCTCAGCCTGGAACAGGTTGTGTAGGCACACTGATGCTACATTTTGTTTGTGTTTGCCTTTGCATGTACAATAAATGCTGTTTAAGAGATTGGTTACTGTGTCATAAAATAGTAAGGCTCAGGTATCCAAAGGCATTTCATAAATTTCCTAGGTCTTAATTTTATGTTCCACAGTCACTAGAATGTTGGGATTTCTTGTGATTAGAAGACTTTTATATCCTTAACCTTAAAATGATAATAATGTAGATTATGGCTCCAGACTTAATCTCTTCTTGCTTACTTGATACACACACACACACACACACACACACACACACACACACACACACACATCTTGTAGTTTTGAATATGAGCATTCTGTGGATGTTAAAGTATGACTGATGTCCAGGAATTGTAATTTCAAAATGAAATTCTAAGATTCAACCTTCGAATTCAACAACATGCATGCGCGCGCGCGCGCGCGTGTGTGTGTGTGTGTGTGTGTAAGAGAGAGAGAGAGAGAGAGAGAGAGAGAGAGAGTAAGTGTGTGTGTGGTGACCTGAGGTTGTTGTCCAGTGTTTTCCTCAATTGCTTTCTATCTTATTTTTCAAGATAGTTTCTCACTGATCCTGGAGCTTGCCAATTCTCCTGACTGTGCTAGTTGGGGCTGACCAGCAAGCCTCAGGGATCCTCTTGTCTCTATGTCCTCTGTGTCACTCAGCCTGGCTTTTCACTTGGGTGCTGGGAATTCAAACTTAGGGTCCTCATGCTTGTAAGCAAGCACTTTCCCATCTCTCAACCCCCAACTTTTTTTTTTTCTGACAGGTATGAATCTAGGTGATAACATTATTGACTGGGATAGTCATTTCAGAGAAAGAGCATACATTAAGGGGAACATGAGAGAAGGGATTCTCATATCAGCCATTCTAGAACACTTACCTTCATGATTGAGAGGAATCCGGCTTACTGTTTCCACCAATATGAGTCTCTAGCAGATGCCAAGGCACTTGGCATATTAATAACTAGTGGTTTTAAGAAAAGACACATGCTTGGGGCCATTTGGTGCACCAGCAATGTCTGAAGTGTTAAGGAGGAAGCATAAAGATGTCTCTGTTGAGACAGAAAAATGGCTAGGGAGCTTATGCTGTGAAACACTCAAGGTCCCTTGTGTTAATGATATGGACCCAAAGCAGTTGGAAAACTCAGTGTAAATGGCCTCGGATTGGATGTGTTTCATCCCGAAGCCCAGCTTACCTTATATCCTGATGACTTGATGTGTACTCCGCGTTTGGTCAGAGTGGATTTCATTCGGATGAAAAAGGACCGCTCAAGGGTGTTGTCAGTGGTTAGCAGACTGGGGCTGGTTGTCTCCACTGAGGAATAGAAAAAAAAAAAAACATACACACTCATGGGATTTAAGTCTCCACAGAGCCCCTCATAGCTACTGCTCAGGTGCAACCCTTGAGTTCACTAAAAATAAATGACTGATGGGTGCTAAGAGTGTAGTAATCAATTTACCTCACTTAGAAAATGTTTACTTTGCAGAAAATAAAAAAGAAAAATTAAGGTGCTAAAAGAAACTCCTTTCCTGTTCCTAGCAAGGGCTTTTCAGTTCTTTTAATTTGCTGCAGCTCCCTAAGTGGGGCCTAATAGTAAGTAATTGCAGCTTCCTTTGAGGGTTGGCTGGTGTGCATAGGCAGCAGTGCTTAGAAAGGGGAGCGCCCAAATGTTGATGGGATGAACCAAACGGTAGGCAGAGAGAGATGCCGTGGCGACAGGTACAGAGGTCCCGCTCTTGGTTCTCTCTACATCCTTCTCAGTTGATTACTTTCATTGTGAAGAGAGACTATGACATTTTCTCATCCCGCTCCAGATGGACACATGAGAATGGGATGCACAGGCAGAGAGAAAGAAAATCTACCCAAATATCACATTCTTATCACAATGGCTTTTTGCCCCAGCCATTAGCCAAACAACAGTCTGCTTTTCTATTTCTCTGATTTTATTCATTTTGTTTGTTAATTGTGTGTGTCTGTGTCTGTGTGGGGCTGTGTACATGAGTGGAGGTGCTACAGAGGCCAGAAGAGGGTGCTTACCCTCCCGTGGCTGGAGTTACAGGCATTTGTTTTTGAGTTGCTAGCTGTGGATCCTGGGCAGTGAACAGGGGTCCTCTGCAAGAGCAATGCTTGTTCTTAACTGCTGAGGTATCTATCTCTACTTCTGCACTGTTAATACAAGACATTGCCTCTCTTATTCAAAGTATTCCTATTATATGCTTCCAGACTGAGTAGAATATGTTTTTACCTGTCTAACTCAAGTGGTGGTTGGCCATCTGCTGTCCTAAGACCTTTATGTAAGCAGGCCAGAGGGCAATGTAAGTCAATTTTCTTTTAAAACAAATTTGAAGGGATTTTTGGAATTGAAGTATTTTCCTGCAAATAAGTTACGTTTGGGAATTTTATACTAATAGATATCCTAATATTAGTCTTCTTAGATATTAACATTTTTTCTTACTTGAAAGTTAAAAATTTAAGTCCATCAACAAACTGGATGTCTTTTGGTTAGCTTTAATCTAACACTACATTTTCTTTTTTTCTGGAATGGAGTTTGAAGAACAATACATGTAATAAAGACCTGTGAGAGGCTAGGGAACTCTATTTCACACCATGAATCCTGGGAAGCAGAGGCAGAGGCAGGTAGATCTTAATGATTTCAAGGCCAGCATGCTTGCATACTGAGTTCCTGGCTAGCCAAGGCTACATAGTGAGAGGCTGTCTCAAGAGATGAAGAAAGAAAGGAAAGAGGAAAGAAAAGAGATGGGGGAGAAGAGAGAAAGGAAAAAGAGCTGTAAGAAGTATAGAACAAAACTATTAAAGAAGATTAGAAATTGGAAAAACTTCAAATTTTGATATGCTATTATACATTTCAAAGAAGCAATCTTTTTTTTTTTTATATTAAATGTGACGCTCAGATGACAGAAGAATATGCTATTCTAATCTCAGCAACCATGCTATTTGTGGTCCAGGGATTTTCTTATGTCATTCATATCTCAGCAAGTCTCAGTTTCCAACACTAGTAGCATTACTACTCTGGGGTGATGAGATGGCGGACAACTGCCCCTTTCTTACGTGACTCTCTCAAGGCTTTCTCTCTCTCTTTTTTTGTTTTAGAGAGCATGGATCTGATGTCATTTTAAATGTACAGCTTTTTATCACTCGAGGGAAAAGCAGAGCCATGTTATATTTAGTACTTTCATTTCTTCTGATTAAATATGAATTACTATGAAATTTTTCTCATCATCTAACACGCCATAATACGCCAACAGCTTTTTAATACACTATATAAGCACAAACTTCTGCTCTAAGAGTTTAATTTGCCCCTCTAATCCAATCACATCAACCTTATTTCTCTTATCAGAGATTCCCATTTTGAATTAAATGAGCTCATTAGTTTTAATCAAAAGCAGAGAGATCAAAACTTAAACGTAAATGCTTCAGATCAGAGCTGTCAGTCAGCCGTGCAGTTCTATTTTACTAAAACACAAGATCAGAGACCCTTAGAACCAATTTTTTTTTCTCGTAAGGGATGCCGAGAGCTTGAAGATGCCATATCCTTTTTTTTTTTTTTTTTTTCCTTCCAAGGACAGATTATACATTTAAGGTTAGACTTAATTTATAGCAGTTTTTCATCCTGCTGGAAATGGAAAAGTATGCCAATCTACTGTTGTCCCTTTCATTTTATTGATACTGGCTTGAACTAACGTAAAGCCATCAGAACCCACACCCCAAGCTCAACCTTTAAAAATTTAGTTCTGTTCAGCAAGATTGTGTTTGCAATAGCAGAGGAAGAGAGAAAAAGAAACTTCTCAGAGAGGAGAAGTACGTGTTTTAGGGCTTTAGGGGTAGGGTTCTGGGTATCCTCAGTCAGTCAGGAAGGGGTCACCTCATTGTAGAAGGGAAAGTAATTCAGGCATGCTGTGAAATACTTGCTGTTTTCCGGATGGGAACTGCACAGTAAAACACTTAGGAGTGTAGAGGAGAGATGGCAGTAAGGGGGCTTCCAGCTGGGTGAAAACACAGCTTCGCAGGAGCTGTGGAGCCAAACACTGTGTCATGTTCTGGCTGAGGCAGGAGTACATGTTACAACAGTAATTGCCTAAACATGCAGGGTAATGTTAATTACGCTGGGGATAAGTGGTGTGAAAAGAATGCTAAGGTCAGGTTCTGCCCCACTGAAGCCAAGATTTAGAATCCAAATTAACCGTCATACTTCACCTCAAGAGCAAGGCGACCGAGGAGTTGATCAGAAGTAGATGGGGCAACCTTCAGAGCTTGGTTTCTGACAGGGACTTGTACTTTAACTCTCTACAGCTTTGGGGTTCTGAGGACAGAAGCAGAATGAACCTGCCACAGTGTACCTTTCAATGGGACAGGTGACAACTTACTCAAAACACACTCAACTACCACCATGCTTCCTATGTGGTAGCAAACGTGAGTGATTTATCCCATTTGTGACAGTGGAGTCTCACCCGTGAAAGAGGTTTTATCTGCAACGTGACAGGCAAGGACAGTCGCCTCCAAAGAGCAGCCTTTTGAGTGAGTTGAGCATCAAAGTGGGGTAGAAGGAAGGCTGTACCAGGGTAGGAGGAAGCCTGTACTGGGGTACAAGGCGCAATGGCTGGGCTGTGGCTACTGAGAATGTGGTGCTGAGTGGAGAACGAACACGAGGGATGGATGGAGCAGTAAGAGAAGTCATTGAGACCTGGGTTTTCCAGATACAGTAGCTCCATCTAACATCTAACAAAGTATTTTGGGGTGCTTTCTAGGTATGGAATGACTTTTTGTCCATTCCTAGAGACTGGCTGCTACTGACTGCCTCATGCTCTGATAAGTTTGGGATTCCAGGAAGTTCTAACCATTGCCTGAAACACAAGGCAGATCTACGGAAAAGCTGAGTTGAGTGGTCAGATATTAGTCATGTCCATCTTATCCTATGAAATATACACCAGGAGAGGAAAGCCCAAAAACAAGAGTGGCATAATGAAATGCTAAATAAAATAAAAATATAGAAATATACCCTTTTTTTTTTTGTTCTGCTGAATCTCAGGGGTTCTAACTCTTTAAAAATTGTGTGTGTGTGTGTGTGTGTGGGGATGTTCACGGAATCTAGAGAGAGACAGAGAGAGAGAAAGAGAGAGAGAGAGAGAGAGAGAGAGAGAGAGAGAGAGAGAGAGAGAGTTAGTTTCAGGGAATCCATGGTGTGAGTGTGTGAGTCTGTGTTCAGTTGTCCATGGAGGTCAGAGGCATTAGATTGCCTGAAGCTGGAGTTATAGGCAGTTGTGAGTCATTCACGGTGGGTGTTAGGAACAAAACTTGGGCCCTCTATAGGAGGCACCTGTTCTTTCTAATAACACAGCAATCCCTCCATCCCCTCAACTTTTAAATATGTCTATATTGCTGCAGTTCTTGGAATGTCAGTTTTGATACAATTCATAAGATTTAAAGAAAAATTCATGATGAAATACATAATGTTTTTATGTTGGCAAATGCTATCCTCAAAATGAGATCTGCTGTCATCATGCATCTGCTAGTGAGTCCATTACATGGGATGGGGTGGTGCTTTCTTCTCCTCCTTAGTTAGAGACAGGAGGTGGTGGAGAAGGTAGAGGAGGTAGCAGGTGTCAAGATCTACATAGCTTTTCCAGGATGGAAATGAAGGACAGGTGCATTCTGAATACTTTCACTATCTGTTGTGCGGTCTCCACAAGTGCATGGGCATAGTGTCAGGGGGACCCTTATTTCGGTACAAGTAAGAGCTTTTCAGCAGTTCTAGCATCTGAACCCTCCAAATACTGTCAAACCCTGATGTGTGCAGAAAGAAACAAAGAAAGAAAAATTAAGCTTTAAGAAATGTTTTTTTCTCAATAGATATTTTTCTTTGTATAAGAAAAACATAATTGGTATAGGTCTTCATGACATGCAATTAAATATAGCCATTCCTGGATCGCCATGCAAGATTGGTTCCACAACCCTCACAGGTACCCAACTTTGCAGATTCTCAAGACCTTTATAGGAAATGGTAGAATATTTACATGTAAACTATATGTATTTGTCTGTATCCTCCCAACCATCAACGTTACTGGTAACACTCATACGGTGAAACACCATGTAAATGGCTAATGTGTAGGTTAGGGATTAATGATAAGGGGCAGGGGAGATGGCTCAGTAAGTAAAATGTTTGCTGTGTGAGAGCCTGGGGGCCTGAGTTCTGATCCCTGGACCCACGGTGCTCTGCTGTAAACCCAGTACTGGGGAAGTGGATCTCTGGGGTCTGTTGACCAGCTAGTCTAGCTGATTCACTGAACTCCAGTTCA